AGGGGAGGGTGGGGAAGAATAAGTTCTGTCCTATTCTCATGACTGTCTCAATACTAACATGTCCAGGTTTGGCTCTTGTATGACCTGTTTGTGTTGCACGAGTTGTAAAACTCTGACTTAAACTAAAATGTATTAAATCTTTGACACTTACGTGAGCAATGTGTGGCATTGCAGGTGTCGCAAAACTTTGACTAAAACTTAAAACACTTCTAATCCTCGGCACTCATATGACCTGTTTGTGTTGCAAGTGTCGTAAAACTCTTGACTAAAATGAAGACTAACCTATGCCTCTGGCTGCGACAGCGTGTTGTATTTCTACAACAGTAACGGCAGGGTCAGCTGTCTTTTTATCTGACCTTATTGTGTTGCAAGTGCTGTAAAACACTTACTAAAACGAGTAGTCTTTCCACTACTTGTTCTCTTTTTGATCCTCGGAAGATCCCAGAACTACTTTTGGCGGAGCCCCCCACCCGCATCAACGGCGAGGAATTTGGCAGCAATGTTTATCGCTGTTCGTGTACTTTTCTCCAGTTACTTTTCCCAGATTTTTTCCAACTGCCTCAACCCTGTCAACTGTGTCCTCGGCAGAACGCCGCGACGCACGGGTAGAAAGAGCAACTCCCCCACGGAGCCACAGTCCCCGTCGCCCTCCCCCACCGGCCCGCCGCCCCCTGACCTGGGCGGGTCGCGACCCCCGGGGGGTCGTAGTAAGCCCGAGTGTGCTGGTGACGAGGACGGTGTCAGTCTCAGCTCGTCCTCCACAGGGACCTGTGTGACCCCGCTGCCCCCAGGTGACCCTGGCCACGGCCAAAATATACACTTTGTTGTTCAGTGAAAACATACACTTTGTAGCACAGGGAAAACATACTCTTTGTCCTACAGGAAAAACATACTCTTTGTCCTACAGGGAAAACATACTCTTTGTCCTACAGGGAAAACATACACTTTGCCATACAAGGAAAATATACACTTTGTCATACAAGGACAATATACACTTTGCCATACAAGGAAAATATACACTTTGTCATACAAGGATAATATACACTTTGTCATACAAGGACAATATACACTTTGTCATACAAGGAAAACATACACCTGTAATCTTTGGCACTTATATGACTTACTTATGTTGCAAGTGACGTAAAACTGGTACCCAGAAATAGCCAGCTCCCGTACGGAGCACTGTGTGTGTGTGTGTGTGTGTGTGTGT